TTCTAGGCATAGCCTTTATCCAGCTCTTGCCCATCCCCAAAAACCTCTTTCTAAAGAAGAAAGATCACATCACACTAGGAATGGAAGTCCTATGGTGTTTAGCATGACGTGGACAGTGCTCTCCCATAAGACATCAACTCCACCTCCACCCTGAGAAGCAGCTGGGCTACTCTGTGCTGCCTGTGAATGATTAACAACAATTAGTGCCATGGGCAAGGCTCAAAATACAGCGACACCCTGCCTCACAACAGTGCAGGGTAAGAAGTTCTACAAGCCGATCTCAGGTTACAGGGTCAGTCTTGTCTTAAAAGCCTTAAAAGAGTTCTTTACGGCAGAAGCATACTTTTAAAGGGAAAAATGTAGTTTTACACGTTAAGATGAACAGTAACTTCGGACAATGCTTAATTAAGAGAAATATTTGAATTATTACTAAAATAACTTAGAAGGTTATATATACTATGCATGTCCAAACACATTATAGCCATACTTCACAGCTCCAAAAGTACTACACAAGGACCATCACATGTAAGTCAAAAACCATATTCCGCTCCTCTAAGAATAAAATTTTTTCCTCTGGATTTAAAGAGAAGTGACTTTGAGTAGATATTTTCTGAAAATATAATTAAGGTATTTCATCGTTTCTACCTTCTTTCTCACTCTCAGGCTATTTTTTAACCTATTATTTTCAATCCAGAGTAAGATAGGAAAATAGAAAATCAACTGTTTCTAAAGTAGAACATAATCTAAGGGAAAACTATTTTTACTGTGTGATTTTAATCACCTAGAATTTTAAAAATCCAGTTATAAAATTATAACCACCACATAAAAAAGGTGTTAACTATAATTTTAATTCACAACTACAATAGGGAATCCCTGAACAGCATTCAGCAGCCCCTGCTCCATACCCTAAAAATAATTAAATTAAGAAGGCACTGGGAGGAAAAGCCAACTTGTGTCCATACGGCAGTACCATGAAGCACGAGTGAAAACTGGAGCAGGAATACTCCGGAAGCACAAGGCAGACAGCACCAGGAGCACGTGAGACCAGCAGACAGGAGGAAGAGGCTGGGATGTAACAGAGCCCATGCAGAAACCGTTCTGACAAGAGGAGGACACACTGCAGCAATGGAAGGGAGGTTTCTTTTAAAGGGACAGTAAGAAAGCAGCAGCTCCTCTTCCCTTCAGCCCTGTAATATAAACACCAGCTCACCTCCGGATGTCTGAACAGCTGCCACGAGAAGTGAGGAGTAAAGGGAAGACTCGAGCTAGACAGATACCCCGCATAAGTAGCAAAAGTACTCCTTGCCCTCAAACATCACCTTTTTTTCTCTTGCTCTTCCTTCTCTATTTTGTGGGATGCAACATACGTTGAAAAGAGATGGCAACATCTATTTAAGAGCTTGACAAACTGCACCATGGCATCCTCTTTAGACGTACTTCCCAGGGCTGCCCATTCCTTCCTGTAAGGAACAATAAGAAAAGTTATCTCTTCTTAACAGAGTGAGAACCTGATTTAATTTAACCTAAATACAAATAATTCTCAATTATAACCCAAAGTGAAGAATGACTCTACTATAAGCAAAAGGCTCACAATTTCAGGTTTTGTTTTGTTTCATTCCCCGGAGACAGGGTTTCTCTATGTAGTTCAACCTGGTCTTAAACTCACTATGCAGCCCAGGCTGGCCCTGAACTTGTGGCAATCCTCCTGCCTCAGCCTCCTAAGTACAGAGAGTATAGGTGTACACCGCCATGCCCAGCTCAAGTTCCAGCAGACATAGACTGACTTACTAAGTTAAGAGTATGTCACACACAACCCAAAATTTAACTGCACTGTTGATAATTCCCACATGGCCAAAAGGTACTAATATTCTGTTTTCCTTACATCAGATTTTATCTTTAACTGAACAAAATATTCAATATATTCTTTTCAGGCACAACTCTCTGTGTTTTAATAAGAGAATCTATTACTACATATTTGAAATGGTTGTCTTTAATATTTTTTATCAAGAATCAAATGAAACTATTTGTCCTATGTTCATGACCAGATGGGTACATAAATAGCCCCACAATATTTAGCTAAAGGTATCTCCAAGCCAAAGCCAGATAAACCTATGAAGACTCCAGAACCCGGAACAAATGTTTCAATTCTCAGAGCCAGCCAGGCATGGTGGTACACACCTGTAACCCCAAGCACTGGGGAGGCTGGGGCAGGAGCTGAGGCAGGACCATCACCACGAGACCACTCTGGCCTACACAGTAAGTTCAAGGCCAGCCTGGCCTACAGAGCAAGATCCTGTCTCAAAAAAAAAAAAACAAAAAAAAAATTCCCATTTTTATTTTAAGCTAAAGAACCAGCCATCTACATTGTGCCCTTTCTCAACAGTGATCTCTTTGTTTGCTACACAACAAAACATGTTACCTTCTGTCATTCCCCAGCACATCAAAGAATCCAACCTCAGGACAAGTGTCTGGATTATATGGGCCCATAAGAATCTGCTTATGCAGTGCCACAAGCTTCAACTTTTCTTCGTAAGTTGGATGAAAGGCTTTGCCATCTTTTTCTATAAAAGGAAGAAATATAAAAAAAAAAAAAAATTAGCACTGCAAAATACATAATTTCCAGCATTCTACACTGAAACTTTGGTAGAAAGGATGTCACAAACTGCCTGTAAAGGCAGGAACACTATTATAGTGAGACTGTATTTTCTTTTTTTCTTTTCCCCCCCTTTTTGAGACATGTAGGTCAGGCTGGCCTCAAACTCACAGCAGTCCTCCTGCCTCAGCCTCCCCAAGGGCTGAGATTTTAGGCGTGCACCACCTTGCACAGAAATCCTTTATACAATGAAGTCTTTTTTTTTCGTTTAAACTGAGCCAAAAATTACCAACACTTATGTTAAGGTACGACACCATAGAGAAGCCAGGCATGATGGTGCTTGCCTGTAAACTCAGCACTCTGGGAGGCTGAGGCCAGAAGATCACAAGTTTGAGTACAGTCTAAGCAATTGAGCGATTTAGAGCTTGTGTCTCAAAAGAAAAAAAGAAATCCATCTATCAGCTTGCAGCAGTTAGGCACACATAACACAAGTGTACCACTTGATACCTTTTACACATACGGCAAACATGTACAACAATCACTTTTTTTTTTTTATATATTTGAGCTGTGCATGGTAGTATATGCCTGTAATCCCAGCATTCAAGAAGCTGAGGCAAGAGGACTGCTATGATGAGTTCAAGGCTGGCCTGAGCTACGCAGTAAACTCCAGGCTAGTCTGGGCTACACAGCGAGATTCTGTCTCAAAAAAACAAAACAACAAAGCAGAAATAATTTTATATCTGTCACTTCTTTCTTTTTTTTTTTTTTGAGACAGGGTCTCACTATGCAGTTCAGGCTTGCTTTGAGCTCACTTTGTAGTCCAGGCTGGTCTCAAACTTGCAACGATCCTCCTGCCTCAGCCGCCCGAGGGATGGAGTTAACAGGCGTACGCCATCATATCTGGCTATTATATTAGTCACTTCTAACACGAGCATGTATATAACCTTATATACATGAAAGGCTGTCTTCAAAACATATCCATTTTACTGTGGTGGTGGGGGCTTGGAATCAGATGAGAGCGGGTACATACTTCTCCCTTTGTATCTCATCTCAGACACTTCCTACCTGTAAGGTTAACTTCTCAGTTTGTTCATCAATAAAGTCAGGCTTACACTGGTGCTTCACAGATAACAGGATATTATTATTAGTAAGAACTATCAGCTCCTTTGCCTTCCTTATTACATTTTACTCTAGCAAGTTTCCACACAAAAAATAAAGTCAGTCTGACCTATAAAGACTTAACCACCACCAACACTCAAAAACTTTATGAAACTGGGTACTGGCAAAATGGGAAATCTTCAAAAAATACTTCTTTGATAATGGCAGCATTGATTATTATTATAATTAACTCCAATAAGAGCAGGCTACTGCCCGGTACAGTGGCACACACCTGTAATCCCAACATTCTGGGAGGCTGAGGCAGGATTGCAAATCAAAGCCCAGCCTAGGCAATTTCGTGAAACCCCGTCTCAAATTAAAAAAAAAAAACAAAAAAAACAGGCTGACAATGTAGCTCAATACAGAGGCTCTGGGTTCAATCCCCACTAGGAGGCACATGCTACCAAAATTTTTAAGTGATAAAAATGATGTCTACTGTATAGAAGTTTCATCCATATACATAAGCAGTGACCAAAATAAAATCATAGAATGAATGAATTTAAGAGACAGGAAAATCAGAGATGAAAAACAATACAAAAGGTGTCAAAAGGATTTACCCCTCTCTATTCAAGGAAGGAGCAATTAAAACCCTCAGACACCAAAGCCCCTCTCCTCTTCATCAGATCAGAAACAGGTAACATCTACAGGTGGTAAAGGCCAGGTATTCCTGTACTTCCAGGAGGAGCACCGTGAACTCAAATCCAGTCTAACCTATGCAGTAAGACCCTGTCTCAAATGAAGAGTTGGTAAGAAAGAGATAAATACCTACTTCTCATTTACTAATATTGAAAGTATAAACTGTTACAACTACTTCCCTACATAATTTGACAATGTATTTCAAAAGTATATGATCCAGGAAAAGGGCACATTTTTGGACCCCACTTGGAGGAGCCACTGAAAAAGTCATACCATCACAGTTCAGAAGGAATAAAGTAATTCAGAAAATGCCTCCTCTTTATACTGATATACAAGACTACATACAAGACTACATCAATCTAACCGTCTACAGCAAATCTGTAGAAAGTATTGACCATATTAAGCAAGCGCTTGTTATACATGTAGGCATAATTTGCGGAGAAGGACATTCTTTAGTTAGAGAAAGCACTGAGGACACACAATGATTTGTGTATTGTTTGTTAGGGTTTCTTAAGACAGGGGTTTCACTATACAGCCCAGGCTGGCCTTGAATTTACAATCCTCCTGGCTCTGCCTCCTCAGTGCTGGGATTACACGTGGAGGACATTCTTTACTCTTTCAGTGTATTGCCTCAGGCCTGATCAAGTCATGTGATTGTTTTGGAGGAAGTCTAGCAAAAGCATTAGTGGAAAGGAAAAGACTGCAGAACCTGTGTCCTTGTGGAAAGCCGCAAGGTCAACACTAAATGCTTTGCTGAGACATGCCCAAAGGAATGATAACATGATGGCTAACTAAGTCAAGTCTCATTCCTATGATAATTGAGTTGTACTGTCTTTGCTAAAAAAAAAAAAAAAAAAAAAGTTTGATATACACCCATCTGCCCAGCTGCTTCTTTTGTTCTTTCTCAATAAAAGGTTACTGAGAATGGTAATCGAGGCTGCAGTCCAAGAGGCTGTAGCCCCCTGATCCCAGAATTTTGTCTCGTTTTTGTTTTTCTCTTGCTTTTATTTTCATCCACAGGTACCTCGTTCTTGGGACCTGACACTCCTGGACAGAAACAGAATACAGAACAACATTAACTGTAAAGCAGGCGGTGTGTGACCACGTGGAAGAGATCAAGGCCTCCCATTCCAATGAAGCACACAAGGGTCAGTTACAAAATAAAATTCCTGCAGTAAATAGAAAACAAAGAGAAATTCTCACAGAATGCAGAAGAAAAAGCCTGTCTTGGTTACTTTTCTCTCATTGCTGAGACAAAATACCCAACGTCCAAATGAAGGAAGGAAAGGTTTATTTAGCTTACAGTTTGTGGAGGTTTCAGTCCATACTTGGCTGGCTCCGAGGCAGAAGATAGCAAAGCAACAAGAGCAAAGCGGGGAATGGCAGCCAAACAGCAACCAGCCAGAGCAAAAGGCAGGAATGGAGGCAAGCAGCTTTTTTTTCCCTGCCTTACTTTGTAAACAGGCTACCCCCACCTAAGGGGCATGTAGCTCTCACATAATCTCCATGCCCTCCTCTCCCACAGGCTCAGGATGTATACAAAGTAAGTATCCTGGCTTCCTGCTAAGTCACTTAGCCAAACCTCTAGACTCCCCAAGTTGACACAATGTTTCAACCATAACAAAGCCAAAGAAATTAAAATGGGAAAAGAGAAACAGAGAGATGTAGAAGGCCTGTGCAAGAGACACCAGCTATGTATAATAGGAATACATGAAATGGAGGACAAAGCAAATGAAGCTAAAACAGTAATGCCGGGCGTTGTGGTGCACACCTGTAATCCCAGCACTCGGATGGCTCAGGCAGGAGGATCGCTGAGAGTGCGAAGCCAGCTTGGGTTATGAGTGAGTTCAAGGCCAGCCTGAATTGCATAGTGAAACCCCTTCTCAAAAAGAAATTTAAAAATCTAAAAAATAAGATTTAAGGAGAAGAAAGAAACAACTAGACATATCCTCGTGACTTTCTAAATCTCACGGATAAGGAAAAAAATTCTGCAAGTATCTAGACAGAGAAAGCAGGTGACCTATAAAAGGGCAAAAGTCAGCCTCACCTCAGATTTTTCTCTTAAAATTCTAAATGCCAGAACATCTACAGAGTTTTAAGGGAAAATAATTTTGAATCAAGAAGATACCCTGACATGTTGGTACTATATCTGTATATGAAGGCAACTAGAAAACATTCTGACACCAAGGGGTTAAGAGACTATATCAACCAAAAACCTTCTCTGAAAAGTTTGCTGAGTGATTTACTGCCACCAACAGAAGAGAGGTAGTTGTATGGAAGATCTAATGGTTAAGAATATGAAGTCTAGGCCGGGTGTGGCGGTGCACACCTGTAATCCCAGCACTTGGGAGGCTGAGGCAGGAGGATTGCTGCAAGATCAGGCCAGCCTAGGCTACAAAGTGAGTTCAAGGCCAGCCTGAACTACATAGCAAGACCCCATCTCAAAAAAACAAAACAAAACAAAAATTCTGAAACTGTTACCTATAAGATAATAAACCTAAACCTGGATCTAAAATTTTCAGTTCATAGAATTTTAAACTGTCAAAGTACATACCAAATATTCAATGTTAATAAGTACAGTACTGTTTTATTATTCTTCCCATGTAATATTATATAGATGGATGTTGTTAAGCCAAGTGTATTTTAAATAAAAGTGCTTGTCACTTGTCTAGTACAGAAAAGACATTCCAAATGCGTATCTGACAAAACTGGAAAATAGTAGTTTTAATTCCTTTTTAAAAAAACTGCCAGGCCTGGTGGTGCACACCTGTAATCCCAGCACTCGGGAGGCTGAGGCAGGAGGATCGTTGTGAGTTTGAGGCCAGCCTGGGCTACAAAGTGAGCTCAAGCTCAGCCTGAACTGCATAGCGAGACCCTGTTTCAAAAAGGCACACACAAAAAATAAACAAACAAATAAAATAAAAAAACTAACAAGTTCATAATGTTAATACTAATAATGTAAGAAGAAAATTTCCAAAGCACTAGTTGAAGAGGGCTACATATGTTTGAAATAATGACTGGGAAAACCAGTAATTACTGCCTAAGATGGTAGTTTGTATAAGTTAATCTGTTGTTAAATTGTGGACAAAAACAGCATTCCAAGTTTTTGGAATAGAAAACAAGTGAAAACCCAAGAAAAAGTAGCAAAAGAAAATTACCAAGGAGTGCTAAAAT